TACTTTGGAATTCAACTAGTTTAAATAGAAAAAAAGATAGCTAAGACCTACTTAGAAAATAATAATAACAATAACAATAACAACAACAACAACAACAACAATAATAATAATAATAATAATAATAATAATAATAATAATAATAAGTGAAAATTACACAATCTGACTTTTTTTTAGAGTCAAATTAAAATGTGGCTTAGTTTTACAAATATCATTTATATGGCTGATTTTTTGAAATATACTTTTTGGTATCTCAAAAATACCTTTTCTCAATTGATTTTGTTGTGTTTTTATTGGAAACTAATTTCCACATATTTCTCGTAATTTGAATTGCTAAAAAAATGATCCAATTAATTCATCTTGCTTTTGAATTACAATTTAACACGTTAATAAAATACTCTTTCAAATTTTACAAATCTAAATAACTGTCACCTAATTCATCTGTCTTTTAATCTTTTTCAATTATATTGGCTCCTGCAATATTTTTTTAAGAGGTTATTGATATGTCATTATTGTTACGAGCCACCACCAGTCACCTACTATACTAGGCCAGTGATGGATTGTAATGAAAAAATATATACATACATACATATCATACCATATTTACAGATCTATTTTCATACAAATATATATATATATATATATATATAACATAGTCATAACAATGCACAATATTTAATTTTAAAGCTTACAAATCATTTAATCAAAACACGAAAATTTTAAAACTTGAAAGGAGTTCTTTAATTAAAAACATAATTTTACGGAAATTATATCAAAGTCATATGACCAACTCTCAAAACCAATATCAAAATTTGGCAACTACAAGTCTTATCTCATATGCACATTCACTTCGGTCCGCTTCCCCGATCACTTAGCTTCTATGTTAACTTTTTCTTTCATTTTTTCCTTTTTTTAATGAAGTTAAGTCCCATTGGTGTTGTGGGTGGTGACTCCTAATCAACCAATAAAAAGTTTTTAGAAAATCCTACCTTCTTTTCTATTTTAACCCACATATTTTTATAATTGCATTTTGGGTCTTATATATATATATTTTAAAAAAATTACGTTTATGATTATGTATTTTATTGAAATAGAATCTTTATAAAAACTCTACACTTGATTAATTTCGATGCTCAAATTAAGAATCCGATATTAGAAATCATATGGAATTTAATTCACTAAGTTTTGCTCCAATTAATGTTTTCAGGAAAAATTTACCCTTGGATGATAATTTCACCGGGTGACGCGTGAGTTTAGGACATCTAAATCCCTAAATTTTCATGAAAAAATCATAAAACACATAGTAATTATAAAGTTCATCACAAAACTTTATAAAATTTCAAGATAGAGTTAATGAGTGTTACAATTATTCTAATGAGCATGTATTATAATAATATAATGCATTTTGCAATTAAACAAAATAGATGAACCTTCATTAATTAAGAGAGCCCACTGGTGTAATATTCAACTGCATTGTAATTATACCTATTGCTATTTGTTATATCTATAGCTATTTGTATATATTCCTTTGTTGATTTTACATATATAGTTTTTGATCAATTTTATAATGAAATTGATCGTATACTAATGACATGGGCTATAACAATTCATTGTTAAAGATGTTAGTACTTGCAGTGTTTTGGTCGTTTTGATAATGACGTTGCTTGTATTTTAATTACATGGGCTAAAACAACTGTTTATCATAACCAAGAGCATTAATATTGCTTTTGATCCTATTTATAATGATATTGTTTGTATTTTAATGACATGAGCTAGAAAGAGTTTGGTCGATTTGAAATATTGAATACTGATATAATTTTTTTTAAGACTTGATTGATTAGAATCCAGTTAATTAAATTTAACACTGTTTGCTGGTTTGAATTTTAAAAATTAGAAATACTGATATATCGTGAAAAGAAATTTAGTAAATTTGTGATTTAATGATATCTCAATTTCTTTATTTTAGGGATTTGAATTTGTTTAAAAGGTAGATATCCCACAAAATGTGAGATAAAGATAGAACAACGTCATCTTGACGTAAAAAAATAAAGTATCATTATAAGGTTTATAATGTAATTACATAATAAGTTATTTGTATGTTATTATACAATTAACCCGGATATTCTTAAACTCAAGCTACATTTCAATTCTAAAGTTGTAATTCGGTCATATGTTTAAATCACCTTAATAATAATAATTTTCAGAAATAGTAAAAAATATGCCAATATAAAAAACTTAGGAAAGTATATAGGTCAATTTTTAGTTATAGAAATTAATAGATCATAACTTGTCAAGTTATGGTTCATAATCAGATAAGTTATGGACAAACTTGTCAAGTTATGGTTCATAGTCAGACAAATTATGGACAAAAACCGTTAATAACTTATTCATAACCAGACAAGTTATGGATAAAAATAGTAATTTAGCCTATATATTAACTTATATAAACTATTAGCCTATTAATTTTAATTCATCTCAAGTTTTAGTCTATTTTCCTCTTTCTCTCTAATTTTTTACACTGAGAAAAAAGCCCAGCCCAAACTTGGTGCTGTAGGCTGAACGTCCGTAGGCCATCATGGGCCGTTGGCTGAAAATCCTTCGGACACCTAGCCTTTAAAAGTATATATATTTGGCATAAACAAAGAGAAATTAAATTGGAATATTTTAAAAATATTGTAATTACGTAGTAATTATTATAATAAGTGTCACTTTTTATAACGTAATTATTATATTCATAGAAATAACGTAATTATTAGAGTCATTTTAGTTTTTCTATTTATAAGACATTCTGTTATATTTCATTTTTTTGACCCACCGTTATATTTCACCATGACTATGGGAGTGAATCCATCAAGTCTGGTACTTACTAATTTGGTCAGGGGTAAATTCAGGATTAGCCGGGATTTTTTTTTTTCACTTTTGATTGGGCCCTTTTTTCATATTATCAATTTGGTTTATTTAATTATTTTTATCAAATATGCTAATTCGGTGTTGTATTAGTGAATGTGGTAGTGTGCCCGAAGAGGAAAAATGATAGCTTTGACATGCAACTTTGCGAACAAGTTTGGAGTCAGCTAGGAAATGGATTTTTTTTTTTTGAAATGGATAATATTTCAAAATATGAAAAGGCATTATAAATACTAATTCATACACATAGTCTTTATTATAAAAAAATATGGCAATGACAAATAACTGATTCCATTAGTAAATTCAAATGATGCTCAAGAGAAAATAATGTGTATTAGACTTCACTTAAAAAAGTACGAAAAAATTAAGTACACATATGACTTTATAGTAGATCCTCTAAATTCATCAGAAACAATCCGATCAATCGATGTCAATAAATGCATTACATGAAGGTTAGATAAAGCCCACAATGAAACATATCTTATGGACGAATAAGACAATTAAACAGTCAGTCACTAAGCAAATAAAACGATAATTTAAATTAATCGGGGTAAGAACCACCGTTATTACTAATGAAAAACGAAAAAATCTATAAACCAAAACATCAAAACACTGAGGAGAGCTATAGAGAACAGATGAATTCAATTGCTTTTAAGATGATGTCTATCGTTAAAAACTGGTGAATTCAATTACTCGAAAATGAAATATTTGGTTGTTGTTTTTTACACAATGAGTATATGACTTGCTTTGGATATTTGTTTGTTTACTGAGTGTTGATTATTTTCTTTGTGCGTTGTAATGAGACTGATTATGTATTTGCTTTTGGTGCTTTGGTTTGATATTGTGCTTTGTGTGTTGTCTTGTAGATCAATTTTTTTCGCAGAATTGCACTAAATATGATACAAACTGCGGCAACATAAAAACAACACTAAAGAGAGTTCAAAAAACTACTCGGAACCGGATAAAATAATTGATAAAATAGGGAAATAGATCATGAATTAAGACCCTGAAACAGAGCAGAACTGATAAAATTGATAAGTGGTCCTATTCTCACACTTGTCGGTCAACTCTCAGTTCTAAGTTTTTAAAATGACAAAAAGTAAAACAAAAAATAAATAAATAAATAAATAAAATAAAAGTTTGTTTTACCTCTAAGCTCTTGTTGTAAAACGTTCTTTTTACTATTAAAATCACAATTTATTTTTTTTATTATAATATTTTCTTTCATAAAGATTTAAATTTAGTTTTTTTGTTACAATATTTTTTTCTTTAGATTTATACCTATTACTCTTAATTAATACCCTTTTAAATAATATAATTATTTAATGAACAAAAATTAATCAAAAGTAAATATTAAAATTATTGATTCATACACTTTAGTCTCCTTTTCCCACATAAAATTCACTTTAAACTCATTTTTCAAAAGTTGCTAAAAAAAGGGCCCCTAAACTTCTAATTAAACATCAATTCATGAGAAATTGTGAAGAAACAATATGGGTCCGTTTAATAACGTTTTCAAAATAATTTTATTTTCGATACAAAAGTAAAAATAATGTTATTTTGACAATCAATCTGGGACCGATTCTAAAATTGCGTTTGGTTGATTTTTTAAGTATAATAAAAAAATGAAATTATATTTGACTATAATTATTAATTAATATATTATAACATTATTAATAAGTACTAGAAAATGAAAATAGAAAAGAGAAAACAACTTTTAACCGTTTTCTAATTCATTTATAAAAACTATTCTCACTTTTTTTGTTTTCGTTTTCATTTTTAAAATATTTACTAAACAAATACGATTTACAGACTGTTTTTATTTTCGTGTCTCAAAAAATGTACAGATACATTTTTTTTTAAATAAAAATCAATTCCAAACAGATACAGAGTTTTTTTTAACCTTTTATAAATTGTGGTAAGAGACAACATTTTGAAATTCGAAGACAAGGAGGAGTATGGTTTATGATCATGAGAGCTATAAAGGAGAAGTTTCAAAATTAATGTAAACAAAGTATAAAGAAAAATAATATAAAAAACGTTTTTTGTATAAAAAAATCGTTTTCTGTGCCGTACGTTCTTGGGCGAAAAAAAACCCAGATAAAAAACAGTACGCTTTTCATTAGAAAAATAAAAAAAAAGAAAAAGAAACGCTTTTCACTTTTTCAGATAGAGAATTGTCGTTGGTGGCGGCGTGGAGATCAACATTTCAATCTCGGGAGAAAAATGGCGGTTCATTCTCCGAGTCGCTGCACGGCTCAGCTGGGCCGGAGCCTCCGTCCCTGTTCCCCGCTCTCTTTCCGCAATCGGACCGTCTCCGGACCCGGTTTCTTCTCCGAGCCTCCGGCCCCGAGGCTTGTCTCGGTTCGCTCTCAGAAGCACGGTCCAGACATGTTCCGGTCCAGGCCTTCAACGAGCTTTAACGACTCTGAAGCTTCGATTGCCTCGCCGACGACTTCCTCCGCTATTGATTTTCTCACATTGTGTCGTCGCCTTAAGGTATGATCGCCAAGAAGAAAAAAAATCCCTAATTTCATTGTTTGGTTGCCGAGAAAACCATGCAAAGTGATTAGAAGGAAAATAGCATCTCTGTTGTGTTGTCTGGAATGGTCTTTCATTGCTAGGCGCTGAAATGTTGCATGACTTGTCTTCAATTTGAGCTCTATAAAACTGATGAATTCAATTTCATTTGTGATGTAGATATGAAATGTTACCAATTTTCTGGAACTGATGGAGTTTAATCTCATATCATTTGAAACATTGATTGAATTTGTGACATATTATACGAAAGAGCCGGTTATTTTCTCGAATGCTTTTTAAGCTTTAGAGATGTTTTGAAATTCTTCTCAACATTGATAGATATGCTATATTTTGCAAAATAGACACTTTAGTAAGAATCCCTTCAAAATGTTATTTCTTGAAAAGAAAAAAGTCATTTTGAAGAATCTTCTGTATCATCACATAAAAAAGAGTAAAAAGAGCTTTACACTTTAGCATATGTTGTTAGAGGGATTTGGTCTGCAATATTTACATCCCTTTTTACTCTCTTGTCCTTGTAGACCACTAAAAGAAAGGGATGGATCAACCATGGAATAAAGAGTCCTGAGTCTATTGCTGATCACATGTACCGCATGGCTTTGATGTCTTTGATTGCCACTGATCTTCCTGGTGTAAACAAAGAAAGGTTGGATTTTTCTCTTTCCACTTTATACCGAGGTTTATGCTCTATATTCTTTCCTCAAAGTTGAGACTTTCAGGAAGGTTACCATAACAACACATAATTAGGAAAAAACAGTTCCATGGTATATCACGAAATTACAATATCAACTTTTTAGGGGTACAAATGTTGGGACAAAATAGTAAAGGGTTCTAAAATCTACAAGATTTTGAGACATGCATTTGTGGTGTTTGTAATAAAATGTTTCTTCACGTGTGTCATTGTTTATAAATATATTGTTATTTCCATTATCTAAAGAAGTGATTCATTCATTTCTCTCTCTCTATCCGTCCTCCCCTCTCTCTTCCTTTGTTGATCTTAGGGAAGCATATGATCTTTGAAGATTGCTACTTTGTGGCTTTGCCCGTCTGTCTAAAGATTTTATTAATGCTACAACACCAAATTGTTCACCTATTTTGTATATCAAATGATTTGGCAATTGACTTGTTTGAATATAGTTCATACATCATTAGAAAGGAACAACTGAATCTTTGAGGATAAGGAGGAGGATGGGTCTATTCTTTGGGATAAAGTTCAGTATTGGGTTTCTTTGTGGGTGTATAGGGATAAAGAATTTGGTAGACCAATTTTTTCGGCTTTTATTAGGAGTTGGGCTCCTTTTTTATGAGCCCTATCCTAGTTTGCTTGTTTAGTCATTGATTTTAATTGTTCTGATCTTTTTAGTTTTTTGGGTTTGGTTTAGTGGAGGATGCCTCTCTCCCTCCCTTCCCTTTCCTTCAGTATTAATAAAGATTGATTCTTTTCAATATATATATATAGTTCATACATCGTCTATAAGTTAGTTATGGATGTCTTGTTTAATCAATTAGATATTGACATGTGTACTATCACATCGTTTGATTTCTGAATTTGTGGACAGTTTGGTACTCGTAGTATTGTCCTTTTAGCTATTTTGGTTTATAGTTTCAACTATAAGTATTCTCATCCGGATTCATTCATTTTTTTAATCTTTTGTCCTTGGTTCAACAGATGTATTAAGATCGCAATTGTGCATGATATTGCAGAAGGTATCTTCTTTTCCTTTATACTCTAGTTATTCGTGGTGGATCCCAACATTGTGTTTCACTCTTGTAGATTTTTCTTAATGGAATCTATCAATCTGACACAATAAACTTCTGTGGTCGTATAAAATTTGGAGAACTTGACGCTTTGTATATTTGCGCTATAATGTCACTAACAATGCTACAGTTGAAGACTTGATTTAGTAAAGAACCGATTTTGCTTCTACTAGGGACCTTTTTATGAGGCATAATTCTATATTATTTGGAATCAAGATTAGAATCATGAGCTATCAGAAGACTGGATGTATGGTTTTAGTGAGAAAGGAAGACTTATTTTTATAGAGAAGGTCTAAGGTGGTTCGTTTGTTTGCTGTTGCCATGGCATGTTAGAGTAGGAAGGTCTGTGGAAGTCTGTGTTAGGATCCTGAAAATCTATGCTTCATTCACAATACTAGAAATGGAAAATTACAAGATAGATGGGTGGTTTCGAGGACCCCCGACCTCCAAAATAGTGCACAGCACTAGACACTCTCTACAAATCTAATTATCCCCTCCCTAGCCACTAAACCCCCTATTTATACTCTCCTTAAGACTATTGAAAAAGGCTTCTAAATATTAGGTTCCTAACATTACCCCCGCCCCAAAGAATCACCTTGTCCTCAAGGTGAAAATCAAGAAATAAAATTGAAAAATAACATCTAAATGATTAAGAATAAAAGGCTTTGTTAGTTCCTTGATTTGAGTCCCCAAATTGATGTTATCCTCGCAAAAAATATTGGCAAATCGATCCTCACTAAGGGAGTTTCCTTCTTAGCCAACCAGGACATCAACCTTTCAGCCTCACTCTCACCAATTTCTTCATTCTCATCTGCAATCGTACCATTCCCAGCCCCAAACGTGTTAAAGTTTTGAGGCTCGACTGCCATTGCACCAGAATTAGGCCTACTAATATTGTAATTACGAGGCCCAACCCCAAAATTGACTCTACCCATACCAAAAACACTAAACCCAGCCCACTTCCGAACATAATTTTGGGATTCAGCTCCAAAATCGCCGGATTTCGCATCGGAATTCCCCGTCCTAGCCATCATCTCGCCGGAGCTAGCCCCAATGGCGTCAAAATCACAAAACCCAGCCTTAAGGGCGTCGGAATTCATGGACCCCACTCCAATTCCGCCGGAATCTTCCTCCGTAGCACCGGAACCAGAGCCCCTTTCACGCCGGAATCGCGAGGCCCGGTCCAAACAGCAGCCAAATCGTCAAGCCCAGCCTCCGTCGCGCCGGGATCTGTCTCCGTAGCACCAGATTCAGCCCCTTTCACGCCGGAATCGCGAGGCCCGGTCCAAATCGGTCTGGAATCAGCCCCAACCGCTACCGAAACAGGGATGGGTTCCCTGTTCCGAGGGTACCCATGTCGTCCTAGCCCCGGAGCAAGCCTCTCCTCCTCTAACTCCGGTTCCCACTCTGATTCTCGTCGCCGCACAAGCTCCGCCGCCCTCTCCCGACGGTCGCGACCTCCGTCCGCCCTCCTCCCGTCGTCAAACAACCCCTCACGCTGCAAATCCGGACCACCCAGCCCCAGATCGCGACGGATCTCGCGGTCCTCCATGAGACCCACGTCTCTCCGGCGTCGGAACTCCCTCTCGCGGCCTCGATCTTCGCAAATCGGCGCTTCCCGGCGAAGATCCGCCCGATTTGGCACCTCCACTCTGCTTGGGTCGACGCGATATGGGCTCTCCTCGCCCCGAGGCGCGCGATCTCGCCTCTCCCCGTCTCGTCGATCGCCGTCGCGACCCAACTCGGCCTTCCCGGCCATCGGCCGCGCCGCCAGCAGTGCCTCCATCCTCCGCAGCACCGCCTGCACGTCTTCCATCTGAGTCCGAACCTTCCCCACCTGGTCCCGGAGCCCCCCAATACTCCCTCCAGAAACCTTGAGATTAGCTCTTAGAACAGCCCTAAGTTTCTCGCTTAACTCAAAAAGCTCCATGGATCGTAGATGCTCTGATACCATTGTTAGGATTCTGAAAATCTATGCTTCATTCACAATACTAGAAATGGAAAATTACAAGATAGATGGGCGGTTTCGAGGACCCCCGACCTCCAAAATAGTGCACAGCACTAGACACTCTCTACAAATCTGATTATCCCCTCCCTAGCCACTAAACCCCCTATTTATACTCTCCTTAAGACTATTGAAAAAGACTTCTAAATATTAGGTTCCTAACAGTCTGCCTACGTATGTTTGAAATCTATTAACCGTACAGGGCTAACTTTTTACCCTGGAACCTATAATTTTTAATAAACCACTCCCAAGGTTGTTTAGGATCATTACCCATACAGGGCTAATTTTTTAAACTGGACACATTTATTTACATGTTGTACAATCTGTATGCCAAAATTCTCCAAAAATCTTATGTTGGAATGCATGTATCTGTCTTTTATGTTGGCATGTATGTATATGTGCTCAGTGTTATTTTAATATTTGATCCGGGTTGTGACTTGATAGCAATTGTTGGAGATATAACACCGTCTGATGGTGTGCCCAAAGAAGAAAAGAGCAGGAGGGAGCGGGCAGCTTTAAATGAAATGTGTGAAGTTCTCGGTGGGGGTGCGAGGGGTAGGAGATCATGATTTGATGTTTGTTATTATAAGTTTTCCTAACTATTATAAAATATAAATGTTCACTCTAGAAATTGAATTTATTTTGTACTTTGTGTTGACTGCAGCTGAAGAGATTAAAGAACTCTGGGAAGAGTATGAAAATAATTCTTCCATAGAAGCTAATCTTGTCAAAGATTTTGACAAAGTATGTATCTTTTGACATTTTGAATGTATACTTTTTGGAATTTTAAAGGTAACATCGGAGTTTGTTTTTGTTTTTTGTTTATCAATGAAAAAAAAAGTTTATTAGCAAAATATGTATTCAATCTTCATTATGCACATGTAAAATAAATTTTTCTTCAGGAAAGCTCTGCAATCTGAATAACTTGTTAATTACAGTCTCGGTGAAGCTATTGTTTGGATTATCCTTCATAGAGGCATCTTGCATTATACAGGCAATAAGTTTTTTTTTTTTTTCTGGGTGCTTTTTGGTGGTGGTGTTGTGTGTTATGTCTTTGAAAACCGAAGTTACTGATAATTCTTAAGTTGCTGTTCTTTGCCACCACAGGATATTGTTTTGAAACTAGACATTTTATGTCTATATTTTCCAATACATTTTTTATGTCATCTTATTGCTGCATCGTACTTATTCACAATTTGTTTTTTTTTTTTGTTCCTTCTGTTACACTTTTAGATAAAATTAAAACTTTGCCATTCATCTGCAACTTCTTCCGAACTGGCGCAAACACATTACTAGATCCTTGTTGATAATCTCCTTGTTCTCTTTCACCATGTTCTAAGGTATCCTTTTCTCTTAACACTCTGCATCTCACTCGTCCAGGTTGAAATGATTCTCCAAGCATTGGAATATGAAAAAGGTAATCTTTTTTCTTCTTCTTGTTTTTTTTTTCTTTTGAAAATTTTGCTTAGAATATGCATTGGAGTCTCTGATCTTTTGTCATTGATATCATAATGGCGTTACAGAGCATGGGAAGGTGCTTGACGAGTTTTTCCTTTCAACAGCAGGTAAAAACGAGTTGTCTATTTCCTGTTTTAACTGTTGCGCAGAATGCTGATGTGTTTTCTTTTTATTTTTTCTTTTCACTTTCTGTCCATCATTTTCACATCGTTATTCTTCTGATCAGGAAAATTTCAAACTGAAATTGGAAAGAGCTGGGCAGCTGAGATAATCAGTAGAAGAAAATCAAGATTGCGAAATAATCCCAATTGACTCAGTCTCAATTTGACAGATGCCTATTTGGTTGAGCCAATCTGTTTTGAATGGAAAATCATGCGGGGATGACCCTTTTCAGGTGCATATAATTCTACGCATCACCGTCATGTGTTTTTGGATTTAAAAGGAGCAGAATATTCATATTGTTCAGATGCAACCTTAGGATCTATTGCTGGAAGTTGATTAGTGAAGCAGTCATACTTAGAAAGTTCCTGTCGTTTGCTTCATTATCAGATCAAGGACCCTTTTGTTTCCTCTTGAAGCTTGCAGTGGTGGTCTCAGCTTTTCCTTTTTCCCCTTGATGCTTTGCAAAAGATGATGGTTTTGAAATGCTTCAAAGGGATGTAGCTTTTGTCTTCATTTAACGACGTTGTTGGGCCGACTAAGGTGGCCATGGTTAGGGTCCTTGTAAATCGAATTTCTTTATAATTTAATTTGAACCTGTCGCAATTTTCGTTGCTTTTGACCTTTTTTATTTTTATAAATAAGAAGAAAATATAAGAAATATTTTGCTTTCAAAGTGGTCGGTTTTTTCTTTGGTAGCCCCTCGATAGATAAATGCAGTTGACCTTGTCGAAATGGTTCTTCCGTTCCTGAGGGTCTTGTAAACAAGGATTTTTTTTTTTTTTTTTTTTTTTTTTTTTTTTTTTTGGCCCCTGTGGCCCCAAGGTTTTTTACATGATAACTTTTTAAGGGCGTGTTTTTCTGATTAAGGAATCATCAAATGACCGTTTTGTTAAAAAAAAGCTTTTTTCAGTGTATGGAATGTAAACATTGTGTAACTTGAATCAGCTATGAATCTCTCAACCAAAAAATTAGAAAACCGGAAAAGGATTGTAGGCCATAGTTCATATAAAAGTTTTAAACGCATTGTACAAACTACAATGATTTCTCTATTTAAGTTGTTTTGAATTTGTATAGAAAGTATGGCTCAAACTTGAGATGTATTCAAAACTCAACTTGAGAAGCTAAGGGCCTGTTCGTTTGCCCTAACTTACTCAAGAAAGACCCACTTGAGTAAGGAAACTGGCCCAAGTTCACGTTCGGTGTTTGAAAACTTGAATTTGAACTCGGAAATGAATTCGAGTTACAACCCATTTCTGAGTTGCACTCTCCCCTGCGATTCGAGTTATTTCTCTGCACTTCTACAGTGCAGATTCTGAGATCTGCTTGCCGTTTCCCGTGGTTCTCCTGTAACCGATATTCTCCGGAATTCTTCTCGCTTATCGTTCAACCAACAGCCACGATCTGCTCCTTCAACGTTATTCCATCGATTTCTGAGAGTTGTGCATTGTTGAACCACTTTTCCCCCAATCTTAGATTTCAACCCTAGCCCACCATTTCGGTTCCCATCTGCATCTTTTGTGTCCCCCTTCCCCCACCATTGTCATCGTTCTTGTTTCCCCTTCAAAACAGGGAAATTTGTGGGGACTCCGTTGGTTCGGCGACTTCGGTGGGTGAACAGCGTACTTCGATGTAGAGGCAACAGTGTGCGCCGTCGATCTCTCCAGCCGAGACATCAAACCTACTTCCCCTACCTCTGTCATCGCCGGTACCTCAGACTTGTTAACCCTTCCTTGCGTTTGGGGAATCTCGAAGGGAATCCAATCTCTTCCTCCATAGGCTCCAATTCGGTAAGTATTTCAACTACTTGTTCAGTTTATGCGAAAAACTCATTTCAGTTTTAGATGATTTCTTTGGTCTCTAGTTTGCATTCTGAGCAAACCCTTTTGGTGAATTCATTATGTTCTCTGAAAACAAACATTGCCATTTCTGGATTTTTTTTGGTGATTTCGATCTCTATACTTCATCGGAGCACTAATATTTACCCCTGTTTGTTCAGTTTTTGGAAAAAAAAAAAAAACAGAAACTGTATTTGGTTTTTCAGTTTTTCTGCATTCGTAGAACTAGTATTTTGGTGAATTCACATGGTTTCTGGTGATTTTTCTGGTGATTTCTCAGCCTCTAGACACTCGGCTCATTAGATTTTGGAACCCCATTTTGTTCAGTTTGTGAAAAAAAAAACCAGAACTTATAGAGGTCTATAAACAGACTTCATCGGCTCACTAGTATAGAAACGGTTTCTATAATTGCACTCTTAGACAGATATTTGGGTAAAAAATTTTGGTAGTTTGTCGGGAAACAATGTATATGATTTCTAGTGATTTTTTTTGGTGATTTCAGCCTGTAGACACTCAGCTCACTAGTATTTGGGAACCATTTTTTGATCAGTTTCTGGAAAAAAACCAGACACTATTTCAGGTGACTCCTGCCCCCATTTGCATGGTCGTATGAGTTTGTACCAAACATGAATGAACCAAACTAATCTTGTGGAAAATTTTGAGCTTAATTTTAGGTGTAAGGCCTGTGTTACGCCATAAATCAAATGAACGGGAGGAATAACAATTTTAAAGAGTTGAATTTCCAACGTAACATTCTCGTGAAAAACTCTAGCATAATTTTTATATCATAAATAAATAATTAAATTTTTAAAGATATCAATCATGTCTTCACGTTCCTAGCCTAACGGCCATTTGGGATCTATTAAGAACATAAGTAGAATAGAAAGGACCTAACTCATACATTGATGAATTAATATTTAGGGAGTTCAAATCATATTAGCTTTAGACCCTCTACTTTAGTTGTTTAAGTGAGACTTTTGCCATGTGGTCTTTGAACGTGGCTTTGCTACACAGGTGTCTAGCGCATGTGCATTTTGCTTTGCTTTTACAATTATCAATGGAAAATAAAGTTATATAACTTAGTGACAAGAAAAAAAAAAGGCAGAGAATAGCTTTTCATTATTGTATTTAGAGGATCTTAAGGATAAACGCAATACACACACACAATATATTAGAGGGGGCATTGGTCTCTATTCATGAATAATCCAGCATTACTTAGCATAATTGTTTAGCTATACAAACCATTGATGAACATAAAACATTGATGATCCAAATAGAATCAAACTTTAATGAAAAACCACGAAAAGCAAAAAAGACTCCAAACGATTTCCGGGCATGTTCTGTTGTAGGTTGTACTTTGTATTGATATGATTATTGATTATCAATCGCTGTGCATTTACTCATTGATACCTGCCGTGTTTTTATATTGCTCATGTGTCTATTTGGAATCCCCTGTTGTGCAGTTTCTGGAAAAAACCCGAAACTGTTTCTGGTTTTTTTCACTTTCTAGATTGCATTTGACCATGGCTATGATGATGTAATTGTATTTAATGGCCTAGTTCATTATGTCGAGTGATATTCGATGGTTGGTTAATATTTAGTTGCCGGTTGATCCCATTAGTCTTAGTTGGTATGGTTGATTTAATTCACTTTGAATGCCTTGCTTGAGCATTCTGCCGACGTTAGCTAATACTTTGGTAGCATATTGGTTGCCGGTTTATGCATAACCTCATGGCATAATGTTCGTTTGCTTCGGGTTTAAAGTGTTTTGCCAACCTACCACTAAGATTAATTGAACATAAACCTGTTGGTTGACGAATCGAATCCGGCTGCGGAAGCGCGGTGGTGCGGGGAAGAGGCGGATCGTGTATAACAAAAATTTTCATAAAACTTTTGAGATACTCTATAGATTATATTAATTTATGCACGAATAAATTAATCTCATTAACTTATATATA